AAACAAACGACTTCTGTTACTCACTTCTTTTCTAAGGCAAACATTAGCGAGACTCCGTAATTAGCGCAAAAACCTTCTGGGAAGGCGATGGGTGGTTACAGATCTCAGGCCCAGCTCTCTTTCCGCAGATGCCCTCTTTGGAAACATTTACTGTAATTCATTCTTTTTCTTAGAATTTAAAATTGTTGTCCTTGTTCAGAATTCATTTCTTCAGAATATTCCTGTAACTACACATGGTTGTGTGGAATGGTGGGAAGATTTCTCATTTCTCTTTACTGGTGGTCACTGTGTTTATGTAGAAGACCCATTTTATCCCATTGCGGTACCCAAACTCTTCCCTATGTCATTCCAATCTCGGGGTGTCTGGGCTGGGCTCTTGAGCAACCTCACTGAAGATAACATTGCATAATATAGCAACCATTGTAAATTTCTATCATTTTATTTTGAGGTCATGTATCATTTTTGTTGTTTTTCTGTTGTTTTGATTTTTGTCTCCATTGCTGTTTTGTCAGTGTTTTAAATTTTTAAATAAAAAAAGAACAGTAAAAAAAAAAAGCAATATCATTTACCTTTCATTTCCTTCTGAGGTCTCAGTATGACACTTTCTCCTATACAATAGAACCCTTTTATGGACAGTGTTGCTTTTAATGTTTCAGTTTCCTGAGGGCAACTCCAGACCAAAAGTTTTAAATGGTAACAGGATTCAATAACTCATAATCTTTAAATTTATGTTTCTGAATAATGAAATCCCATTGCATTTTGCCTGCGATGTGACTCGTCCTTGTGTCTAATGTATCCATCCTGCATACAACTACCCACCCATGAGTCACTTAAGATCAGTCTGGAATATCAGGTCAACCACCACATCATCATAGTGCCTGTGCTGAAGTAGCCCTTACATAGTATCTTAATGCTACATAACAATTCACAATGTCTGTGTCATTCTCCTTACTTCCTCTCATCATGGTACCATCAAATCCTTTCATGGTGTTACAAGAAGAGTCCGCATAGTACAATAAAATATTTTGAGACAAAGATATCATACTCATGCAATTCTATTATAGTATACTGTATAACTGTTCTATTTATGAGTTATTAGTAATATATACTCTGCATGATTTAAAAGTTAAACTATATCATAAGTACTTTTGTATAGAAAAAATTTTGTGCACACATAGTTTATTTTATGAATGGTTTCACGCATGCAGTGGGGGTCATGGAACATATCTCCAAATACCACGGGACACTACTCCACTCTGTTTGACTGCCCTTATGACTAGAGATACTACAGCCAGGGTTTGTGGTCTCATGCTTTTAAAAGTTCTAATTTATCTAGCATTCAGATTCCATTCTGTGCACATTAAAACCAACTTCTGTCCCTCTACTTTTTCCCAGGAGGTTTTATTTCCAAAAGTAAATCTGCCCTAAGCAAATTGTAAAACACATCAAAGGTATACATAATGTGAGGAATCTATGATATTCTGATCAAATTGCACACATACAGAGTTTGTATTTTCAGGGCTATAAAATGGAATTTTATAATTTCTAGTGAGTCGTAAGTTCACTCACAGTTTTTTTCTTTTTTCTGCCTGTTCTCATTTCTGCTTCAAGTTATGAATATAAATTTGACCGAATGAAACTAAGCTCAGTTGCTCAGAAAGTTGTTACTTCTGTGTAAATAAACAATTCCAGATTGCTGTCACACCGTTCACTCTTTGTTTTTTCAAAAGGAGTAACATGAGTTAATTTGGGAGGAGAGGATTCCATTTCCATGGGTACACATTGATCTAAAGATGTTTCTACTCCTTTTCCTCACTTTCTCTCCACCCTGTGCTGTCTACTTGGTAGCATCAGCTTCTAGCTCAGTTGTGTCCAGGGCCATAACTCCCACATTCCTCTTTACCTCTAAGCAGGTTACTCTGCATCCACTCATCCTAACTTTAAAATTCATCTCCCACCCCAAATTCTCAACCAACTTTCTTGTGTCTGTCTCAGAAACAAAGACAGTTTTATAATGATCGTCTACTAATGAAGTGCTACCTCCGAAGTTTGAGGAATTTGGCATAGGAATTTATGGCCATTTCTGAATAGATTTCTGATTCTACTATTCTATTGCTAAATTATAATGGCTTTGCTGGGGCACATGCATACTGACATTTACCTTTAAGGATTGGAATCCCTCAACTTCATACTAAACTGGCCACTCTGTTTCAAGACCCCTGCTAAATCTCTCTAGACTTTAAATATTACCATTTAGGGCATGGCTGCAGGTAAGGGTAGGATATAGCATGCTCTCTCTGCTACAATCATTTCTAAATTCTAGCCATTTCCCTCTAATAATATTCTCACCTCTCATTTATTAGATTTTATCTCCTTTTGTGTGGGAAAATAGCCTTATCTCAACGTGCATTTTCCTTCAACATTATCCTCAAGACTCTATTTTTAGCAGTCTCCTGAGGCTTAGCCTTTTATAACTCACAAATACTTTGTGATCTCAAAAAACTTGGCTCTTATAACGCTTGGCCTCATATTTGGCTCGTGTGAGTTTTAACATATCTCTTCAGGAAATAAAATGATTTCCTCTTTTGCAGCTTCATTTGCCTCCTTGAAGAGAATAAAAGCTATAGACAGCCCTTCTGGACCTCATTGAGGTCCAGAAGAATCCACATTTGTAATCCCATGGAAGAGTTATAGGAACTCTAATAAATTAATTCCAATCTACTATTTCCAGTGCAACACATGGTAAGAATAAAGACACTAAGGCATATTGTAATTGTGGGGAGCCAAAGGGGTCCTAAGTCCAAGCAGAATAATGGCTAACTGGAACAAAGGCCTTGACCCAGGGCCAAAGCCAGGTTTTATTAATCCATGAAGAAGGGAGTGGCTTGGAGATGAGTGACTATGAGAATGGCAGGAAGTACATGAGTGCTGTGAGCTGGACTAGGTAGGAGGTGTCATAGCACCTCTGCAATATACAGAGAGAGAGAGAGATGTGAAAGAGTAGTCTGCATATCACAGATTGGGGCACTATCTGGTGTTTGGGAGCAGTGCTTCAGTGTTGATGTGTAAGCCATGTGCTGAGAAGTCATAGCCTCTTTTCTTGGGGCTCATTCTCAGCCTACAGCACGGCATCACTCAGTCTAACTCACACATATTACCTGGAAGCTGCAGGCGGGCATCACTGACCTGTGCATTGCTTGAAACACTCCACACCAGCACCTCAGCTAGACTCATTTGCATTGCTTAAAGCCAATTGAGAGGATAAGGAAATGTCCTGACCAGCTCTGTACATATTAGCACATGGAGGTAGGGCCAGGTATAGCCACAAGGAAGACAATTGCTTTTCTTCCAAAGAGAGTTGTCTAGGTAGTCCTCCACAGAATACCACTTACTAGACAGGTGTAGATTTAAGAAGCAACAAACTGAGTGTCAGGCACTTTGCAGCTACAAAAGGAGCTTTCATTTTGCCAAAATTTAGTCAAAGTTGTAAATAAGACATCTGCATCATTCTTAAGCTCTCTCTTTCCTATAGACTATTCTCTCAGAAAACCGGGAATACCTTTTCTCACTAGGTGGCTATATACTCTAACCACAATTCCTAAGTTTATAAACAAATTTTTAAAAACAATATCTATACAGGAAAAAAAACTATATATATCCTAAATTCTACAATTGGAAAATCACAATATTTTCAAGATCTACCATGTTTCCTAGCTTGTGTGACCCTTGAGTACGCTGAGTGCTACAGAGTCTATTGCATGTGCATAATGTGGTCTTTGGGTTGTGGTCTGCTGCCTTCTGTTTTGAAACATCTTGACCTGTTCAGTTTCTATTATTTCTGTCTCTAGCATTCTGAATCATCTGAGTGTGGTGATCTCTCGTAGTACAATGCTCACAGTCATCATCCAGAACAGTAAAACTGTTTACATTACATTAACTGGTTTACATTAGTCTAGAAGCCAAGCTGCATGACAAAATTTCCAGAAAATGCTGTGGTTCAAAGAAGTTTACTTTTTTTGATATTAAAGTCCAGAAAGAAACTGGCAAGACAACATATACAGGTAGCTGTTCCATGTGAGGTCATACAAGGATAGATTCCTTCTATCCCATTGCTCCACTGTCTCCTGTAATGTTATGTGAACCTACCAGGACAAACATTATGAACACCCTCACATCCATGTTCAACTTTCAGGAAGGGTCAAATAGTATTAAGAGATTCTTTTAAGAACCCAAAGCAGTCCTCAGTTCCATTCTTTTCTGTGTGCTAGAATTTAATCTCATTATCAATTCTAGCTACAAAAGAAGAAATATATTATCTCAAATTGGTACGTAAGACCTCAGCTAAAATGCAAGATGCTAATTATCTTTTAATAATTTTCAAAGAAGTAAAGGGAGAATTATATTATGACAGATAATCTCTAGTACCAGCTGTTAGTATTAGTAACTAACATTTAGAAGTTTTTACCTTGTTTCACTAGGTAAGAAAAAAATCTTTCAACACAGGAAACTCTAGCTCAGTGCCTATCAACCTTGAAACAGGTGATATTTAGGGTCAGATCATTCTTCACTGGTGAACTGGGAGATATTTTGTGCACAGTAGATATTTAGCAGCATCCTGGACTCCACACACAGAATGCCAGGAGTGTACTGTTCCCAAGTTGACACAACCAAAATATGTCTCCAGGCACTGCAAATATTCCTACCTGGTAAATGTGTGTGCTGGGAGACTGACTTGTCCTGATGAAGAACCACTAATCTAACTGTAAGATGCTATTGCAGAGAGTCTCTTCCTTTAATGTATAATAGCTTTTTTTCCTCAAGTAAGTGCTCCCTGGATGTCAGTATTCTCAATAGGAATTGGTTAATCTTACTCTGCAGTCCTTTTAATTTATTCAACGAATACCTATTGTTATGGTTTAGAACTAGAACTTCTCTCAGAGGCTCATTTTCAGAAGTGGGGACCTTGGAATGTTATTAGATCATAGAGACACTATACTCATCAAAGGGATCATCCATGAGTGAGTCCAGTAGATAAGTGTACTGTTAGGGTTAGGGACTGACTGGAAGTGAGTCACTGGGGTTATAACTTGGAAGGTTATATTTCTCTCTTTGGCCCATCCTCTCTCTTTGCTTCCTGGCTACCAAGACCAGGTCTCCTCTGCCCAGGCGCGTCTCCCATGTCCTTTCTGCCTTAATGACAACCAACTAAAGACTGAAACCTCTAAATATTGTGAAGTAAAGTAAACCTCTCTTCCGTGAAGTTTTGGGTATTGGATGTTTTGTGCCAGCGACAAGAAAATTAACTAAGACAGGAACCGATACCAGGGAAGTGTGGTTGTTGCTGTTACTATTCCTGACTGTGGGGTTTAGAAGCCTTTAGAAATGATTTGAGGGGAGACTTTAGAATGGTTTTATTTTCAAGATGCCAGATAAATAAGTCCTAGAATGCTATAACACAAGGTTTACAGGGAAGTCTGGCTGGAGCTCCGAAGATTAGAACACTCATAGAATGTTGAATAGCAAAAACCAGGCTCAAGAGGTTTTATTTGGGAAGCAGGGTTCTACTGGCAGTTGGACCACAGTGAAAGTGTGCGATGCTCTGGCAGAAAATTCGTCTTCATTTTGCCAATGTCCTGAGACTTTGTGAGGAACTGAGATTAAAGGTCGTGGAATTATTAATCTGGTGAAAGCAATTTCAAGTCCCAATATTTGGACTGTGTATTGGATACTCCTTGCTGTCTTTAGCCAGATTTATAGCAAAAATCAAGAACAAAGGGCAGAGCCAAGAAATATAGAAAGTTTCCAGTTTTTCTAGAAAGAAAGCACTGCACCTGCAAAGCTGAGGCTTTGGAGAGTATGATTGCTAAAAAAATTCACATGAAAAATAAGCCCAGTGCTTTGTACAAAGACAGTAGGAAAGATGGTTTTAAGAACACTCAGGATAGGCAAGACCTCACCCCTCACAGGTTCAAGGCTTCAAAAATGCGGATATCGTTGGAAAAGTACCTGAGATCCCTGCTCATTCAGGGCCACCCAGGCACTCAGAGGTCTCTGCAGCCTTAATGCAAGGGCACCAGGCTCCTCCTTGACTGGTAACAGACCTTAGCATCATCCACATGGTGCTGGTTTTCTAGCAAGTAGAATGCAAGAATTGTGGGATCAGGAAGGCTTCCATCAGATTTCACATCAAGGCTTGGGAGTCAGGCAGTGTGTCATTGACAGGGCAGTGTGTGAAGAAGTGAAAGTGTAGCTAAAAGTTCAGAGAGGAACCAAGGAAGTTGGAAAAGTGAGGAACATGGATCCTCTGCTGAGGAAAGCACAAGAGTAAAAAGAGATACCCCAAGAGAAAGGAAATGAAACCCCAACTTCCAATTCCTTAGGGACGGGGCTGATAAGCTCTTTACAGCTTATATCAAGCTATGGTAATAACTTGATCCAAATAGTGGACATGACAATAATTGCAATGCTGGGTTTTGGTCTTTATATGCTGCAATACTTTCCTATCCACCTATTTCTCCCTTTGTGGAATGGGAATGCTTACATCATTAAGCTAAATCCCCGACCTCTAGAATTGGTCATTTCAGTAATGCTAGAACTCTTGGGGCTAGGGGTATAACTCAGTATCATGGCACCCACCTGGCAAGTGTGAGGTCCTGAGTTTGATTCCTGGTTCAGAAAAAAGAAAAGAAAAGAACTCTTAAAACTTCGGTGACTTTTAAAGATTGACTAATGGATTTTGTGTGATGAAATGAACTTGCAACTTTAGGTATCAGGGTAGAATATTATGATTTAGATCAAGAAGGTCTCTCAAATGCCTCATATGTGAAGAGGTGGGGCTTTGGGAAAGTTCTTGAGACATAAGTTGCTAACTGTGCTGCTGGGAGGTGGACTTTGTTAAAGGTGGGTCACTGGGGGTTCAACCAAAAGTATAGCTGCCTTCTTATTTCTCCCCTCTCTTTTTCTGCTTCATGGTTGCCATGAAATTAGCAGCTATCCTCGACTCAGGCCCTTCCACTAAACCCTTTGTGCCTTGGAACCAGCCAACTAAGGATTAAAAGCTCTAAAAACCCATGATCCAAAGAAAACCTCTCCTCCTTTCAGTTTTGAGGGTTGGGTATTTTGTCTCAGTGATGAGGAAAGGAAATTTAAGACATGTGTTGATCATGTACTAAATACTAAGGATCTCACTGGGACTGATAAAAAGCTATGGAGAGGAGTTTAAAACTATTTCCTTGGAGCTTCAGAATCTCATAAAAATTACAAAATATATTCTAAGGGCTGTAAGGCATATAATAGCAATAATATATGAGCGAAAGTAAGACATTCTCCCCATATATTACTAACTGCTTTAGAATGTTGCTAACATCCAGTACAGCTGAGTTAACAGTTTTATCCTATTTTCTCTGAGCATGATGGAGTTAATAGCCAAACCTTGCATTTTTCCTGCATGATGACCTTTTGAAATTCTTTTATAATCTTTTGAGCCTGGCCCCATTACCACAGAGAATTCTTGATCTATTTCCATCAGATTTTGGCCATAAAAAGTATGATGAGACTGTCTGAAGATTCACTTAGGACTCTAGTACTGAATGTGTTAGCCTTGGTTCATCTGGTTGGAAGCAACTGAGGCTCACATAAATTATCATTGGCAAAATAAGGAAATTTATCAGAAGTGCATAGAGTCTATTTTTTTCAACATATAATCTGAAATAAAATCAACAGGATAATTTTTGTAACTGGCTATGCAGATATGAAGTAGTGCAAGAAACTTCTGCTCTCAGTTTTCTTATTTTCACATTCAAAAATCTAATTAGTGTGTTTATAAAAGTAAAATTTCATTAGATGTGTTAGTGAGGCCAGCTAAGAATTTATAATGACAGATTATTAAAATCCAATCTCTTCAATATATCCCCAAATCTGAGCTCTTCTATCCTACTCTTGTTATCTATACCTTTGAGAATTACATTTTGGAAGTAGAATCGTTGTGAAACCATCCCTTTGTATTCTATCCCGATAACGCAAATAAACCTCCCAAATCCCTATGATTAGAGACTGCTACAAGAGAAAGTCCTAAGTGAGCATAGCCTCTAAGCTAAGGTCTGAATTTTAGTGTCCCCTCAAAATTCATGTTGAACCTAGTTTGCAATATGATACTAAGAGATACAGTCTTTATGAGGACTATTCTCCCCTGAATGGAATTAGTCTGCATAAAAGATACCCAAGGCAACTTTTTGCCTCTTCTAAATGAGTATGCAGGAGCAAGGCATCATCTATGTAGAACAAGTCCTTCCCAAATGTCAAATCTCCCAACACTCTTATTTGGGCTCCTCGGCATCTAAAACTATAAGCCATAAATTTATAGTTTATATAAATTTCTGAATCTAAAATATTTTATAGCAGTTTAAATAGACACAGCCACCACCAAGAAAGAAAATTCATAACCCGGCTGCTATCTGCTGATTGTTTGAGAGTTTTGTTTCAAAATCTCAGGGAAGTTACACACCATCTGAACACAGGACAATTAATAAACATCCTACAGCATTTGGTGGTCACTGAAGCTCTAGGCAGTATATGCAAACAGAGCCTTCAAAATACAGTATAAAATATATACCTAGGTAGACGTGAAGACATATTATACTTTCAATTTAGAATTTTGTCCAGGAATTCAGTCACAAGTCTTTATTCATATAGTAATGAACTGAATGATATTGTGAACAAACTTGCTGTTCTCATCTCCCAAACTAATCAGAAGATGACATTTAATGATCGGTTTACCAATTTTGGACTGATGGAACATATGTTAACAGAGCACAAGCTGACCAGCCTAGGAACTCTACACAAGAATAGGGCAAAAATTCCCAATGAAATGTTGCAATTTCAAAACAGAGAATTGTATAATACACTCTCTGAATTTCAGAAAGATATAACTTTGGCCTCATGTATGACAAAGGAAAACAAACTGTACTATTGATGTCATCATTGCACCATGAGAGAGAATTTGGCAGAGAGACTGTTTTATAATTCAGCGGGTCAAAATGGTGCACTGTCTCTTTATACTGAGGTCTGCAACCAGCATGGCCTCCTAAGCTTTAATCTGAATGATCACAAGGATGGTGTCGGAGAGAAGAGACCTGGCTCACACAACTTCCCTGTTTTATGATTATGGGAGCCTGGATAATCATTAGCATGCTGTAGTGTTTACAGCTGAAGAGAAGGGAAGGGAGTGACTCAGCTCCTTTGTTGCTAACTGTACTAAAACCCTAACAGAATGGAAGTCTGAGATGGAAACTTTGTACAACAAAACCAAAGGTGGAGCAGATGTTAATGATGAGTTATGAAGCAATTATGATGTTACTCAACTATGATGTGTTTTACTGGATCCTAAACATGTGTGGCATAAATAGTTCAATAATTTACAAAGAAAATAACAAGTGCAAAATATCATGGGGAAATTTTCTTAGCAGATTTGGACTGGAACTCATAAGAGATTATTCACAGCAAAGGAAGAACAAAATGCTTCTGCTCAGAGAACTATGCAAAGAAATTGTGTAGCACACAGATGAGCTGAAATGAATAGATAGATGCAACATCACAAAGACCTACCACAACCACAGAAACACAAAGCAGATGTCAACTGTGCCCTACAAAAAAGGACAGAAAAATAAAACATATGTGCTATCGGTGTAAGCAATACTTGCGCATTGAACATAAGGTTTTCATGTGTGAAGACTGCCTTGGGTGTGACATTTGAGGCAAAGAGTATTTCTGTGGTAGGCTTTTGTTTGTATTTACATTGTAGTTCACGTAGGTTTTTATGTCTGATGTTATCTATTAGGCTCTGTGAGCAAGTAGCTGATGTAAAAAGGTTAATGTCTATTCCAAGCACTCATTATATATTTGATATTTCATTTTACTAATATCATATTTTCTTGCTAGATACACATTGTACAATAGAGTAAGAAGCTCCTGACAAAAGAGGAAGATAAGAGAGGTGAAAAGAATGGTCTGCCACCTAGGACAGGAAAGCTAAGTGCACCTGCTGTCAGTGAGCGAGGCAGGTGTGTGAAGACTGCCTTGGCTGTTAATGCTGAAGCAAATATCACTTTTGTTGTAGGGTTATATTAGTATTTTCATGGTCGTTCATATTGGAATTTATTTCTGATATAGTCTTTCAGGTTTTGTAAGCAAGTACACAGCTAATGTAAAAATGTTGATATTTATTCTAAATGTGCAATACATGTTAAGAATTTAATACTTTATCTTATTGATAGTTTATGTTCCTGTCCACATTGTGTATTACGATAAGAACCTCCTGAAAAAACAGCAAGTCCAATGAGATGTCAAGTATGTGGTACAAAAAGGCCTGGAAAGCAAAACACATGTGCTGTCAGTGCAAGCAATACATGTATATGGAATATGCTGATTTCATGCGTCAAGACTACCTTAGGTGGGATATTTGAAGTAAAGATTAGTTTTCCTGTGGAGTTATGTTGGTATTTTCATTGTAGGTCATATAGAGTTTATTTCTGTTGTTAGTTTTTAGACTTTATAAACCAAAACACAGTTAATATTGAAAATTTTCATGTTTTTATAAACACAAAATAAATGTTAAAAATTCAATACTTTATGCTTTTTACATTTTTCCTGTTAAGTACTCTTAAAACTCATAAAATTAATAGTTCATCAAAAGAAATATTCTAAAGAATAAATATGGGTATTATACACCCACTACAATCCTCTTTTAATTGGTATTATGGTATATTATGTATGGTATACAAAATTGGTATTATGCCCCAGGGGTTTTGTAGCAAAGAAGGGAATGTCTATTTAAGAGACAGAGCACAATAAAGAGATGCTTAGGCAACCAAATATACACCCTTGGACATTTGGCTGTATACATAAATACAATCACTCAAACTTTTGTTTCTTACTCAGAGGATTTAAAAGATCATAGTCTCACTGGACAAGCGCATATCAGCAAGAAATGAGAAAAGCAATAAAGGGTAACCTCTGTTGGCCTGGCAAAAATTTGTGAGCCTCTAATCAGTCAAAGGACATTGGGTTGAATCATATTATTAGTCCGTAGTCCAGGGAGACATCATCTAGACAGCATAATCCTATACGCATATTGATGCTCCACAGTGGTTGAGAAAAGTCTGCTGGAAAACACATACATGTAGCAGCAAGCCTCACTGTGGGTCTGCCAGAGGACTTGGCCCTGTGGCCCATGAAGTGCACAGTTGCAAAAGGTGTGAGCATTAATTGTGAGATGTCAGCTTGATCAAGAACCACTTAGTAGATTAGTAAACCACTCATTGCGTCTGTGGATGATTGATATATAGACTAAGAGAAGGAGTGATCCACCCCAGATGTGAGTGACATTAATCAATAGGCCTAGAGCCTAGACAAAACACAAAGGGAATGAAGAAGGAAGTCCTTTTTTCTTATTCTTCAGAAGAGCTCCAGTCATCACCATTGCCTTTGGCATTCATCTCAGTTCCATCTTCCCACACGAGCTCTTCAGCCTTCTAATGCAAACCCTTTGTCTTCAGCATGAGCCTGCTCCAAACCCTGCACCGACCTCCTGTCTTTGACACATTCTCTAACTCTTCAGCAGGCATGGCTGTTTTGCATTCTTCCCCAGCATGATTCCACAGAAAGCCTACCTTTCTTTGAGAACTCGCCATACTGATTTCCATAATGGTTGTACTAGTTTACATTTCCACCAGACATGAAGGAGAGTTCCTTTTTCACCGCAGATACCCCAGCATTTGTTACTTCTTGATGGTTGCCATTTGTTCTGTAGTAAGATGGAATCTTAGCTTTGTTTTTAATTTGCATCTGTCTAATGGCCAGGGATGTTGAGAATTTCTTCATGTATTTGTTGGCCATTTGTCCTTCCTATTCTGTGAAGTGTCTGTTCATGTCACTTCCCCATTTTTTGACTAGGTCTTTAATTGTAGGTGATCAAAATGGTTTGAGTTCTTTACATATTTTAGATATCAGTCCTCTGTCTGAGCTAGCCTGCAACTATATTTTTCCATTTTGTAGGTTGTCTCTTAACTCTACTAGTTTATTCTTTTACTGTATGGAAGTGCTTTAGTCTGATGCAATCCCATTTGCTGATTCTTGTTATCACAGTATTTCTTGTGCAATTGAGGTTCTGTCTAGAAAATCCCTTCCTACATCTGTGTCTTCAAGGTTTTATGTATTTTATCTTCCAGTAAGTGTACTGTTTCTGTTTAATGTCTAGGTCTTTCATATATTTTTATTTTAATTTAATGCATGATGACATGGGTTCAGTTTCAATCTTCTGCAAACCAATAATCAGTTTTCTCAGCACCCCTTGTTGAATAGACTACTTGTCCTCCAATGTCTGCTTTTGGCCCCTTTGTCAAAGACCTAATGGGTAGATGTATCTGGGGATGTTTCTGTATCCTCGCTTCCAGTGGTGGCAAACCTATGGCATGCATGCCACAGCAGGCGGTTTGTATCATTGCAAGCTCTAAAATGTTCATCATTGCTGCCCTATTCTATCCCATTGATCCACATCTCTGTTTTTGTTCTAGTGCCATGCCATCTTTATCACTATTACTTTGTAGAATAGCTTGAAGTGTGGTATTGTGAGGCCTCCTGTTTTACTCTTGTTGCCCAAATTTGCTTTTGCTATTCTGGGTTCATTCTGTTCTAGTCCCTGAAGTATGCTGCTTGTATTTTTATTGGGACTGTATTGACTCTGTATAACAGGTTTGGGAGCATGGCCTTTTAGAATATGGTTCTGCCTATCGAGAAGCAGGGAAGAACTTTACATTTTCTCATTCTTTTTCAATCTCCTTTTTGAAAGTACTGCAGTTTTCTTTGTAGAAATCTTTCACTTCCCTGGTTAGGTTAATTCCTAGACATTTCATTTTTCTTAAAGCTGTTGTGAATGGTAATGTTTCCCTAATTTCCTTTTCATCGAATTCATTATTGGTGTACACAAATGCTGATGATTTATGTATGTTTACCTTGTATCCTGCTATGTTGTTGAAGTTGGTTATTGGTTCTCACAGTTTTTCAGTGGAGTTCCATGGATCTTTTATGTAGAGTACCATGTCATCTGCAAGTAATGGTAATTTGAGTTCTTCCTTTCCTACATGTAACCCTTTTGTTTCTTCCTCTTGCCTGATTGCTCTGGCTACTGTTTCAAATATTGTGATGAGTAGAAGTGGTAATAATGGGCATCATTGTCTTGTTCCTGATTTTATGGAGACTGCTGCTAGCTTTCCCAATTTAATATGATGCTGCCTCTTGGTTCATCAGAAATAGCTTTTATCAACTGAGGTTTGACCCTTCTAACCTGTTTTCTTCTGAGTTTTTATCATGCTGCTTTTTGGGTTATTAACCATAGTTCTGTCTTCTTGGGTTAGCTGGGGTAATTTGTATGAATTTAGGAATCTGACCATTTCTTTAAATTTTGCTAATTTTGCTTTTTCAAAATAAGTTACTATCCTCTGGGTTTTGACAGTGTCTGTTGTGATTTCAACTTTTTCATTTCTAATTGCATTGATGTGAATCTTTTCATTGTTTCTCTTAGTAAGTCTGGTGAAGGCCTTAATCATTTTATTTATACTTTCAAAGAACCAGCTCTTTGATTCATTGATTTTTTCGTACTATTTATTTAGTCTCAACTTCGTTGATTGCCACTCTTTTCTCTCAGTTTGAGCTGGGGCTGATTTGTTGATATTTCTCAAGTATCTTTATCCTCTCAGAGTCTGAGGTTGGGCAAGTGAAGAGGGAACCTCTGCTGCCATGGATCACTTGCTCCTGGGGTGCACCAGTGAAAACTCTGCCAGGCTGCAACCTTTTCAGCATTTAGAAAAGAGATGTGAGTTGTAGGTCTCATATACTCCCAAGTCTACCCTGTGAGGTTAGACTGTACTGTGTTCCTTGAACCCAGCCATTATTTAGGAAGTTCTCAAAATGGTGGTCCTCATTTGAGGAGGAACTATAACCTTCTTGGGCTGTTTCCCCTCTTCTTAACTCCTATTCATATGTTTTGTTTGATCTAAAGTCTCTTCTTTCAAATTGTTTTTTTTTTTTTTCATATTAAGTTTTATATCTCTCCCCCTTTTCCAATGACCTGTGTTTTAGTTGATCTCTAGGTCTCTCAGACATGACTCACCTTTTATTTAACCGTTTTGGATCTCTTCCAGATTTCTTTAAAAGAAATTGAGCAGAATCCACCTTTCCTATTGATGAAGACAGTAATACCTTAGTAAAATTGAGATTACTTAAAATACTTCTCAGATAAGAGTGGTATCATATCTTTATACTATAAAATTCTAAATTTATAATTTAAAATTATAAATCTCTAATGTAAAATAATTTTAAATCTCTAATGTGAATATAAATGATGTGGATGGGTGTTACACTGAGACTATTTGTCTGTTTCTTTTTTTAAAATTTTTTTATTTTAAAGAGTAAAAGAAGGATAACATAATAATGATGGGTGCTTACTAAATTACAGACACAGTGGTAGGAAATTATCAATGGTTATTGTTTTACATATTGTTATCTACAAGATAGTTTCTCAGGAAAACAAATAGACAAATGATAGTGAGTTACAGACAAAAGAGGTAGGAGATTATCAATAGTTGTTGTACTATATTTAGGTATCTTCAAAGTGGCTTCTAAAGAATATAAATAGAACTATACATGAGTGACCTACTGAATAATCATTCAATAATTCTCAATGGTTGTTGTAGGTAACACATAATAATAAACATGGATCCATTTATGATAGGATAGGAACAATACAAACATTACAGAGTTATGGATAGATTAGTAGGAAAATATCAGTGACTGCTGTAATACATGGTGGTATCTTCAAAGTGGTTTCTCAGGAAGACAGAGATACACAAGAAGGATCTAACAAGTAGTTACAGCCTAAGAGTTGTCAAAAATCAAGTGAGTCATCTGGGGTGAAAGCCATTTTTTGTAGCATTTTCTCTCCAGCCTCCCATCACATAGGGACCCCACAACCAGTTACTGTCCTCTCCCCAACTGTCAGCACAGGCGGAAGGAATCCTGCTGCAGACTTCTCTGGAGCTCGACCACAGCCTGTACTGTCAGGGGAAGAATGGCTTCCAATGAGTCTCTGCAGGTATTGTGTAAGGTCTTCCTGGTTTACAGCTTCTGAGTGGCTCTCATGACCCCAGTCCACAGGACCTCTGACTCTGTGGGCTTAGTCTGCATTCTCATGTTCTCTGAGTCCTTGTTCAGCAGCTACTCCTCCACTGGCTCTGGACCTTTCTGGTTCTCAATGGCAGGAGCAAGAGTGGCCCGTTGTATGGCATGCATTCCCAGGGGTTGTTCAAAGTTTGATTGATTCACACACGTCCTGGGTGGGCAACTGCAGTCGGTGTATGGTGGGCCAATTGTGTCATTGTTTCTCTGTGTCATGAGAGATCTCAACTGAGTGGCGGCCGGCCTAAGGGCCGGCGCGCAACAGCACTCGCTGCCACATGGCTCCACATGCGCCAGGGGCCCTCCCTCCGGGGGCCTACGAGGCAGGAAGCTAGCCAGCCGGAAGACCTGCACTCCCCACCCGTGGCTCCCTGTGCGCCAGAAGGCCTTCTTCCAGGGGCCTACAAAGCAGGCAGTGAGCCGCCGGTCCAAAGACCGGCGCTCCCCGCCCATCTATTTGTCTGTTTCTATTGAGTTCTGTGAAGGATGAGAGGACCAAGAACTTGCAACTTCCAAAGTGAGGCTAAAACCCCATGCGGAACTTGAATGGGAGGAACTAAACACAAGCTCCTCATCCTGTGGTTATAAACAAGGTGAGGTTGAAGATTCAGGGACTGGGGAAAGAATTCATTTGCTGTCAGTCATCTGGGCAAGAAGTGAATCATTCTTTACTCATGCCTGATGAGAGACTTGGGGAGTAAAAGGAGGTGCTGAATTTGACACCACAGAATTCTCCAAAGTCCAGGGAAAGAGGCAGTAGTGGCCTGTGACTCCACACACACAACTATGGTAGCTTTATTCTCAACAAGTGCCTCCTTTTCTGGGGCACAAAAACCTAAGAAATTGATTTTCCTCTATATTTAACGTACCCTGCCAAAGAACCAGAAAGAGGCTGATAGGAGATAACAAACTGTCAGCTTCAGGAGCACCGTGGCCATGTCATAGAGCTGCAGCTGAAGGGGTGCAGTCAGCATTCACTATGTCATTGGTGGGGCCCATAGAAAATTGCTAAAGTAGGGCTTCTTGGACAAAAATTATTAAAAATTTCAAGAAAGCCACAGGACTCAAAGTGTTCATGAGAAAGAAGACAACATAGAAGGTTTGCAGGACTGTAATGGGAAAAAGTAAAGGAAGTTTGTGAATGTGTCCAAAACAAGTCTGCTTGTTAATTGTAATAGCTACAGCTAATTTAATTTACTTAAAGTTTCCAGGGTAAACACATGTATACACACTCAAACATCTTGCCACATGCATGAATGGATGTTGGACTATACTTCTATGGACCTAAAAGATCATTTGAGGTGAAGAAACTGACTTAATTGAGCAATTGTTTCAGAATTACATTTGTGAGCCACAGCACAAATACTACTGGCAAAAGAAGCCAAAAGAATATGTGTGTTAAGATTTATTTTTATTACATTCATTGGAAAAACTCTCTTAGAATACAAATCAGGGAAATGGAGGATAATAACTGTCGATAATGTAAAAGTTCAAAATAAATGTTCTAGCCAAATACTTTTGGAGTTTATAGCTAAACTGCCATTTGTAGACAACAGTGTGAGTTTACTGCCCTCGTGTGGTTGTAATGTGTCACTGCAACATCTCTGACCAAAGGTGAATGTGTCCTTAAATCCTGAGGCAGCTTTCACGTTTTTTAGTGTCTCTTTGATAAATTTACCTGTAACTTCTTCATGAGCCGAAGTCAACTGGTCAGTGTGTGAGCATCAATAAGGATGAAGGGTAGCGTTATCTTCCAAATAAACCGATTAAAAACAGCGCATATCACACACATGTTAAGAGATGTGGGATGCACTGTCTATCCACAATGCGCCATATGCATTGAAGCTTTGCTACTAGCTATTTGGCCCACCTGTTGGTTCTCATAGGTCTCCTTCTGACCAGGCTCCAGAAGCACAAAGAAATGTCTACTTGACTTTGCAAACAGATAGCCTGTGTTGACCGAAGGTGTCTTGCTCTGTTTTATGCTGATATTAAAAAATCAGTGTTCTGGAGACTGGAGAAATTTTTTAAATTTGATTTTGTTCATTTTTGTTTTCTTTCAGTTCTGTAGACTGGGAAACTCAAGCTTGAGGGGCCATAATTGGTGAAGGCTTTCTTATTCATCGCCCCCTGTTCAAAGCAGAAGAACAAGAAATCACACAACAGAGACAGAGCAAGGGAGCCAAGTTCATCCTTTTAGTAGGACCCCACAACTATGTAAAGGTATTAAGTCATGTGTAACATCTCTCACTTCTGAAAGACACCCCCCCACAGTGTTTCCTTTGGGATTAGGTTTGCAAAACTCCAGGAGTAAACTAAGGAGACTCAGGGGTGTCGAAATGAAAGTTGGTGAAAACGTTCATTAAACTTTCTTTACAATATATAATTATGACTAAAACATAAAAAAGTTAGAGTGATTTAAATTAACTATTATCAATGATAACTTTTATGTAATGTAAAATATTCTCAACTATCTTGATAAATGGCTTTGATGCTAGGACTCATAACTATCAAGTTTTATATTTGAAACACCTAAAACGTTCCTGATTAAAACTTCAAGATCTTGATAGTTAACTTCAACAATTTTATTCCCAAGTGTAAGGGATTCCAAATTTTACAGCAATTTAAATATCTAACACAACTGAAAGTTTATATGACACTTTTAATGGCTTTTCTCTTGTTTAACTGGGAAGTTTTTGTGGTAATAGAAACGAATTTGAAACCCAGTGTAATTTTTGTATCAAATGTTCTGGAGTAAGGATGCTCATACATCATTAATGTAGTTAGCTCTCATCCAATTGGGATGATAGGGAAAAAGGATATCAGCTGCAAAAGCCCAGGTGCTGTTTACTTAATCCAGGTAGAAATCAAAGACATCACCAGGATGACACCAGACGCCTGCCATGTCTCAGTATCCCCACCACCACCATTTAGCTTTGTATTCTGCCCCTTGGGAAACCAGCATACAGAGTCTCTTGGCAGATGTAGAGACCATCTATGCACAACGGGAGGTGTATCCATATCAGTTGCTGGAGTACATACCCAAGTAGAAGACAGCCTGAGCTCATTGCCCCAGAGGAGCCTGCAGAACTCTGCTCATTGCTGCAGGGAATAGTTTCTCCAGGCTCCAGATTTGCTAGGAGATGCATACCTGCCCTGAGGTACAGGAAGCAGCATCTCCTGGCACAGCTGAGCATATTCACAGTGTAGGGGAGAGGGGCAGGCCTTAAAACATCAGCTCTCTATCATGTCCCAGAGGCAGATATTATATTCTGATAACATGCACTCAGCCTCTTCTGTTGGATCTACCCAATCCCCTCTTGAATTTGAGCCTCAATAAAAAAGACAGACAAATTGTTGTAAAGGCACTAAAAAGTGATATGTAGCTTTCCTTCTATCTTGTTCTCATACTCTGAAGTGTAGAAACAAAATGATTTTTTTCTCTCTTTTCCCTATTGTATCATTCCTATCAGACATTATATTGACTTTATCCCTCTGAGGAATTTTACCCCAATAGGAAGTCCAAGAATAGAAAATTCAGTAGGAAGTTTTCATTTAAATCACATCACTGTTCCTAATATAATCATATAAGTGACACCCATTTGTGTTGGGCAGGGAATATCCTGGATAACTATACATAGCAGTGCTACTTGTTAAAACTATACACTCTGGTTAAAGGTAGAAGGTTCAAATTTCAATCTGATGTAGAAAGTAAAATAGAATGACAACTTGTTCTTTCATGAATAATCACGTATACATTTTTGTAATTATAAAAGTTGAGTAAATACCACAGAATGTAATTTCTGCAATTTTACTTTTTGTTACATCTTTCTCTGGTTTTGCTATGAAGGTAAGTGCTAGTCTCACAGAATGAGTTGGGAAGTGGACCCTGTATTGCTATTTTCTAGAAGAGATTTTCAGAATTTACATCACTTCTTCAGTGTTTGGTGGAATTCACCAGATAAACAATTTAGGTTTGATGTTTTTCTTTTTAGAAGGTTACTAATTATTAATTCAATTTCATGAGCATACTCTAAACAAAGAACTATATATTATTATGTTTGAAGTTCATTTTGTCTGCAAACAAAACAGCTACTCCTGCTTTTTTCTGGGTTCCTGTTGCATGGAATATTGTCTTCTATCCTTTGACTCTTGATCTATGAATATTTTTGTGTTTAATGTGTTTCTTGTATAGAGCATATTGCTGGATCTTGTTTCTTGATCCGTTCTGCCAGTCTACTTCTTTTGGTTGGTAAATTAAGACCATTTATATTTATGGTTGTAACTGATATGCATTGGCTTGTCTTTGTCATGGCATTCTCCCGCTGTTGTTTCTCTACTTTTCCTCTCTGTTTAATTGTTTCCCTGGCTTGGTGGTTTCTTTCTGTGGCTGTTCTTGGAATTTTTGTCTCTGTCTAGAATATCTTTCAATACCTTTTGTAGTGTTGATTTTGGTCATGAATTTCTTCAGTTGCCCTTTGCCATGGAAGTATCTTATTCTTCCATTGATTTTGAAAGACAGTTTTGCAGGGCACATCAATCTATGATGGAAGTTGTTTTCTTTCAGGTCTCGAAATACTTCAAGCTCTTCTTGACTTGATGGTTTATGTTGAGAAGTCTGCCATGATTCTGGTGGGCCTACCTTTATAAGTGTTTTTTTTCCCTTTTCTCTGACAGATTTTAATATTATGTTCTTGTGGTGAATTTCTTGGATCTTAATTATTATATATCTAAATGTAGATTTATTTTGGGTATGTCTATTTGGACTTCTGTATTCCTCCCTTACTGTTTGTCAGATTCTTTGCCTATGCTTGGGAAATTTCTGCCATTACCTCTGCAAATAGTGTTTTTCTATCATTTGTGTTGACTCTTGCTTCTTCATTGACACCAACTATTCTTATATTATTTTTCTTTGCAGCATCTTGCAGCTGTTGAATTGTTATTTCCTAATCTTCTGTTTTTTTTCAAGAGATCTTTTCTTTCATTATTACTAGCTAAAATCCTACCTTCATGATCTGAAAGTCTGCCTTCAGTTTAATTCAAGTGATTTTGCCAGCTTTCAAAAGAGTTTTTAATTTCTTGGATTTTCTGTTTGAACCATTTCTTGCATTATATTTCTTTCCTATATTGATCATTCACCATTTCCATTCTCTTCCTATTATCATCTATTGTTTTCTCTATCCCTATTCTAGATTTGCTGAGTATTTGTTTTATAAATATTGATATTTCTTATTTTTACCTGAGATTGTTTCTGATCTGATTTCCCCTGTGGCCTCATGGATTTGTTTCTTACTTCAGTTACTATCATTTCAGAGATGTCAGGGGCCTTTCTTCTGGTTTCCTCTGTATTGATTTCTCCTAGACTTGTTCTTGGTGAGCTGGAGGTTTGAGATTGAATTTTGATTTTTGTCTTATTTTCTATTTCAAAAAAAATTTACCTGTTTTCTGTGATGATCCTTGTGAGTTTTTAGTGAGTAGCTGTATCACCAGTATACAGGCTTCTCTGGGGAAAGTCTATTCTTCAGGGATATCTTCTGTGTGTAGTAGATTCTTGGTTTGTGTCTGTTCCAAGATCCTATCTTCTCAATTAATTAATAATGGGATGTTGGTATCTGGCTCAGCCCACAGTCCTTTGTTGTAGGATTGTGATGAGGTTGCTACCCTAGAGCTTCCCATGTTTTTCAGAAGGGAGAACCACTAATTAGAACTGATATCACATCCTAGCTAAAATATTAAAATTAGCAATAACAATAGCATCAAACATTTAGAAATTGACAACCAGTGGTAATTATTGATTTTGTACTTTAGTCCATAGCAGTAGATCTATAGTATATAATAAAACCAATTGTAAATTAGAAGTTTGTATGCAAAGTGTTTCCCCTTGTTAGAATGGTTTTACCCTGAAGTGGGGAAATTTAGGGAGCATAGTGTGTAAAACAAAGAAACTGCAAAGGAAGTAGAAGCAAGGCTGGAGGAAAAAGGATGATTGTACAAGGTTTGGGAAACTGAAGAAGGGGTTAGAAAGAAAAGGAAGGAGTATTAGACAGATTGTGTGAATTTGGTCTCTGGGTTTGGGGGATAAGATTAGCTTTCTGTGGCTAGAATTCTCCCCAGCCATTCAGAAAATAGAGAAAAAAAGGAAGAAGAAGAAAAAGAAAGAAAAGGGAAAAGAAAGAAAGAGAAAAAATAAAAAATTAAACAATAAGAAATATAAAATAAAGGGCTGGTTACTGAGTCCTAGGTTCTTCCTGAGTTGGTTACAGGTCCCTCAGAAGCCTCAGTCACCTGATGGTTAGAATTGTTATTACTTTGAACTATTATTGTTACTTTGAATTTTTCTTGCCACTAGTCTTGCGCATCCTTCCTGTGTGCCCTGGTTGAGACCTTACTGTGTCACTGGTGTTCCTCTTGGTCTCTGGGCCTTCCCAAGCAGTTCGCCTCGGTTGTCGCAGTAGTGAAGGGGGAAGCCATGATTAGGGCCTTTGGGTGTGGTTCACCTGGGTCTCAGTGGAGGAGAGGTGGTGGGAGGGGATATCTTCTTCCACACTGTTCAGCTGGGTTTCGGCTGGACTACAACATAGTGGCAGAAAGTGGTGGGAGGGGCTGCTATCCTCCATAGTATTCACCTGTGCTCCTTAGTGGTGGGAGAGGGAGCAACTCTCCTCCACAGTGTTAACCTGGGCTCGCCCATGTGTTTAATAGCCCATGATGTGGTCTATCTGGTAAACATTGTGGGTGAATTTGAAAAGACTGAGTTCTACTGTTCTTTGTTACACTTTTTATAAAAATTATACTTATCAACTTGATTGTTAGTACTATTAAATTCAACAATATCCTTAATACTTTTCTGCTTTTATCAACTACTGAAATAATAATGTTGGAGTCTCAGTAGAATGTGTTTGCTTTTCCTTTCAGTTCATTCAGTTTTTGTCTCTTGTTTTTGACACTTGCTAGTAGGTGCAGACACATTATGGGTTGCTATATCCTCTTGGAGCATAGAGTCCTTTTCTATTCAGTAATTGTTCTGGACTGAATTGTGTTTCTAAAACTTCATGGTGAAGCCCTAACACAATGTGGCCACATCTGGACATAAAATCTCTAGGAAATCATAAGGTAAGATGAGGCCATAAGAATGGGGCCTAAATTCAATCATACTTTAAGAAAGAGGAAGAAAGGAAAGCAGAAGGGAAAAGAGACAAGAGAAAGAGGAGAGAGGAAGAGTG